TACAATAATGATTCAGAGCATAATTGACTCTGAGGGTTCTGTTCTTGCCTCTGTTTGTACGAGAGCGGGTGGCAGTCTTTGTTTGTAATGTGCCCTCCTTCCCTTCTGACAATGGTGCAGGAGGTGCATGCAGCAGGGATGATGGACATGCACCGAAGCATCCCTCCCCTCTCCTCAAGACTCCTCTGGCCGGCAGAATCGGGTATGAGGTGAACAGTGGGGGTGGAGGGTGGAGATCTGGCTCGGAGCCGTTCCTGACATATTGTCCATGGACAAGCACTGGTTAGCACATGAATCAAACCCAGGCTTTGATTCAGAAGACTTTTTAGCTCAGATTCTATGGCTTGAGATTGGAGGGCTAGAAGAAAACAACTGGCTAGGGGTTGAAGCTAGACATTTAACTTTCAGAATCATTTAATTCAGAACCTGAAAGATACACACCCAGAGCCGGCCTGGTGGCGCACGCAGCAGGTTGGGTTCACACATTCCGCTTTGGCAGCCTAGGGTCTCTCGGTTCAGATCCCAGGTACAGACCTACTCACTGCTTGTCAAGCCATACTATGGCAGGCGTCCCACATATAAAGTGGAGGAAGATGTGCACAGATGTTAGCTCAGGGCTAATCTTCCTCAAAAAAAAAGAAAAAGATACACACCCACACCCACCCCCGCCCACTGAGTCCCAAACACCACACCATTGTTAAACCATCAGACAACTCATTCTCTATACCAGCTTGGGAGTGAAGATTAAAGAGTCAAACTTTGACCTATTCAATTCTCAAACTTAAGCCTGGTAAACAGAACATCTTTGCATTTGGAGGAAACTTAGATGTCTATCAAGTCCAGATTTCTACACCACATCTGAACTCCTGTGATAACATTACCAATAAATGGTCATGCACTCTTTGTCTGAATACCCCAAAGGAGGACTGAGATTGACCCTGAAACTAACAAAGCATCAGAGTGAGGGCCTCTCACTTGCAAGGGCCTCTCCCAAGCCCTCTGCTTAACTTTGTATCCATCATTTGTATTTCTTGTCTTAAAGAGGGCCTCCAAAATATATAAGCTTCAGGCCCCAAAAAGCCACACATGGGGACAATAATACTCCAAGGGCCATCCACAGTACTACCCTACACTGAAATAAAATCTGCCTCCCTACAAGTATGCCCAAAATGTCAGAAATGTATTTTTGGTAATATAGTGATATTTCTGAGATTGGGTGTATTTAATGAGTGAGTAGAGTATACGAGAGGATTTTCTAGGGGTTGGTCCCATGGCTGAGTGGTTAAGTTCATGCGTTCTGCTTCAACAGCCCAGGGTTCGCCTGTTCAGATTCTGGGCACAGACCTACACACTGCTCATCAAGCCATGCTGTGGCAGCATCCCACATAGAAGACTCTTAGAATGACCTACAACTAGGATATACAACTATGTACTGGGGCTTTGGAGAGCAAAAAAAAAAAGAGGCAGACTGGCAACAGATGTTAGCTCAGGGCCAATCTTCCTCACCAAAAAAAAAAAGAGAGAGAGGGTTTTCTGAAAGTCCTACATTTCAATTTAAAATCAATTGCTCTTTTCTTGCCCCAGTAACTTTACCTGGGCTGTTCCCTCTTTCTGGAAGCTCTTGTCTTTCTTGTCTGATTATCTCCTGCTTTGCGGATCTCAACTCATACGTCCCCAAGAATGTCCTCCCTAATTTCCTTGATCAGGTCAAATCCTGCCTTATATAGTGGCATCATACCATGCTTCTTCATGGCACATGTCACACATAATTTTACTCACATTTGCATGTTAATTTCTTTGATTACTCTCTAACTCCCCCACCCAACTGGAAGACGCATGAGGCCTGGACACTGCCTTCTTTTTATCATGTCCAAAACCCCAAGCTCAGCACAGAGCCTAGCACGATATGTATTTGTAGACTGAATCAATAATGCACGACAAGGTTAAAAGGTTTGGGTAAGAAAGGTTCTCTGGATTTAGGTTAAACATAAATTCAATAAGAACTAAAAAGTCAACGTTATAAGGCATTACATTTTAGCTCATTATAATGTATATTTTCTGACAATTATTTGCTGTCCAACAATGAAACAGGCTATCTTAAAAAGTAGAGTATGTTCCTCAAAATTACATGTTTACTACTAAGGACGTTGAAGAGGAAAATTCCATAAAGGGAATTCTGTAAAGGTAGAGTTGGACTGAGATCAACTAGATCATGTAAGGTTTATCTCAACTAGAAATCCTATAAGGCTATGGTCACTGACACACAGCTTTTATTAGTGGAATTTATGACGATCTGCATGAGTGTGGAAATGGTGCGGTTTCACAAGGAAAACATTAAATAGAACTAAATAGTTTCTATTAGAAATGTATGTTCAATATAAATAGAAACCAACACATAGGAGTAAGTATATATAAGCAAATAAAAGCATGACCACTGATAATAACTAAATTCAGGAATGAATAGAGGGGCCGGCCCCGTGGGCGAGTGGTTAAGATCGCGTGCTCCGCTCAGGCGGCCCAGGGTTTCGCCGGGTTCGGACCCTGGGCACAGACATGGCGCCGCTCGTCAGGCCACATTGAGGTGGCGTCCCACATGCCACAACTAGAAGGACCTGCAACTAACATATACAACTATGTACTGCGGGGGATTTGGGGAGATAAAGCAGGAAAAAAAAAAAAAGAAAAGAATGAATAGAGATTCTTTCCAAGATGGAGTAAAAGGGACTGAATTTAACCTCCTGCCTGAAACAGGTAGAAAACAAAACAAGGCATATGAAACAATGGTTTTCCAAAAATTGAAAAACAAGCAGCATAGGACTGTGACCCCTGAGAGGAGATGACTCATGGGCTTGAACCAGTTTATTTCCTAGAGGCCATTTCCAGGCTGCAACACAGGAATGGGGAAACCACACAGAACCTACAGTCTTGCTGAGTGGAAAGGAGAGAGATCAGAGTTCAGAGAGGGCACAGTGGCCAGGATTTGTAGAACCGAGTGCCAGAGAGGAGGGAGCTACACAGAGAGAGATGGGGTCCTGGAAATTTAAAGAGAATTTCATGTCTTTGATTGAGTGCTAATATGACACGCCTAAGAGGAAACCAGCCAGGGCTGGAACAGAAGCATGAGAATGAATAGGCAGAAAAGTGTTTGGAATTCATGCAGGGGTGGGAATAGTTCATGTTCATGTCAGCCAGAGTGGAAACACCTCTTCATGATAAAGACACTGGATAGGGGAGGGCTTGGCCAACTACAGCCCACAGGCCAAATTCAGCCCACAGATTTGGGTTTGAATTTGGGTTTTCAAACTGAGAATGATTTTTATATTTTTAAAGAATTGTAAAACTAAAGAAAAATATGCAACAGAGACTATATGAGGCCTGCAAAGCCTAAACTATTTACTATACGGACTCTTACCAAAAATGTTTGCCAATCCCTGAAATAGCATTGAGATAGTTATCAGCTTAATAGTGGAGATAAATTAGCCCTAAGCTAAAGGTTGCTCTGGACTTACCCTAACAAACTTAAAAGCAATCCTGAAAAGAATCCTACAAAGGATCCTAATTCCTGGTGATTTAGCTAGCAGTGAACAAAATCTAACACTATTTAATGAAATACAACAAAATCTAGTGCCCCTAAACATAAAACTCATGTCAGGCATCCAACAAAAAACTGCCAGACTTGGAAAGAAATAAGAAAACATTACCCTATATTATTCTTCTATTGCTGTATAACAAACTACCCCAAAAACTTGGTGACTTAAAAAAATAATCATTTCTTATTTCTTATGGTTTCTGTGAGTCAGGAGTTCTGAAAGAGTAATGCTTATTTGCAGAGTAATGACAGGGAAATGGTTATTTCTGCCTCATAATGTTTGGGGCCCAAGCTGGAAGACTTGAAGTTTGGAGGCTGAAATTTTCTGATGGCTCGTCCACATATTTGGCAACTGATGCTAACTGTTGGCTACCTTTTATGAGGAAAGAGTTAACAGAGCAGGTCTGGTTGCTTATTCCTTGAATATCTCTAAAAGAACCTGGAACCGTGACTGGCCTTTGGCTAACCGCTGAGAATATGCCCTCCAATGTCAGGGACTGATGATTTTGAGGTGGAGATGTGGAGCAGTGGGTTGTGCTATACCAGCTTATCACATTGATTTGCACAAAAATCAAGATTAATGATGTGCACCTGGTTCCATTGTTGGAGTCCTGAGTTTTAATTGCCATAGCTGGTTGCATAGCAAGATATGCTTATGTGACCAGCACACCAAAAAAGCCTTGAACATGAGACTCCAACAGGTTTCCCTGGGTAGAGACATTTCAGACACGTTCCTGTAGTTTGCTATCAGAGAAAAAGCACATCCTGTGTGGCCTCTGATGAAGGAGGACTCTGAAGCCTGTACTGGACCTCTCTGGACTCTGCCCAAAGAAAATATCTTTCCTGTTGCTTTACTCTGTATCTTTCAGGATAATAAACTTTAGCTGTGAATATAATCTTCTCTTGACTCTTGTGAGTCCTTCTGGCCAATCACTGAGCTTGGAGTGGTTTTGGGACCCTCAAAACACCATGAAAATACCAATCAAAAGAAAGCTAGATGTATAAATTATTCACTGTTGTATAACAAATTACTCTGAATTTAGCAGTTAAAAACAGCAAACATTTATCGTTGCATAGTTTCTGTGAGCCAGGAATCTGGGGTGGCTTAGCTGGGAGTTCTTGTTCAGAGTCTCTCATAGTCTAAGTATGCGGCTTGGATAGGTCTGAAGGGTCTGCATCCAGGCCCACTTATGTGGTGGGTGGCAAGGGGCTTCAGAAGATCCTCAACATGTGGATTTTGTTTTTAGGATTTGCCCTGAGCTAATATCTGTTGCCAATCTTCCTCTTTTTTTTTCCCCTCCCCAAAGCCCCAGTATGTAGTTGTATATTCTAGTTGTAAATTCTTCTTGTTCTTCTCTGTGAGCCGCCGCCACAGCATGGCTACTGACAGATGAGTGGTGTGGTTCTGCACCCGGGACCTGAACCTGGGCTGCCGAAGTGAGTACACCAAACTTTAACTACTAGGCCATCAGGGATGGCTCACCATATGAATTCTTTATAGGCTGCTCATGACATGGTGTCCCCCAGAGGAAGTGATCGGAGAAAGAGAGAGAGAGAAAGAAGGCCTATGACAGAAGCCACAGTCTTTTATAACCTAATCTGAGATGTGAAATAACTTCACTTTTGCCATATTTCATTGGTTACACGGACCAATTTTGGTACAATGTGAGAGAGGACTACACAAGAGCGTACACCAGATGGGGATCATTGGGGACCATCTTGGAGGCTACTAGAATAGCTATATTAATGTCAGACAAGGTAGCTTCCAGAAGGAATATTATCAGGGATGAAGAAGGACATTTCATAACAGTAAAGGGGTTAACTCCTCAAGAAAACGAAAAATCCTAAATGTGTATACTGAGCTTCATGCCTAAGGCTAAGACCCAAATAGAAGTTTTCTCCATTTGTGTTTATAATAGGACCTTTTCTGTAGGAGATATTTAGCATATTTCTAAGTCCACCCATGCTTCATCATCATCTTCATTGTAGTTGTCCTCATCAACATAAAGGAAATCCAAAAACCAATTTTTTTTTATTTTAGCAAATAATTACGGAGATGCTGTAACAACTAAAATTTCCCTTGTAAATAGTTCTGCTTTACATAAAAGCACAGTGGGGAAAAGTCACCTAGGTGTTAAGAAAGGGCACGGGGTTTTCAAGAAATCAGAATTCAGCAGGGCAAGCAGGAAATCATAACCACAGACGAAAAACAAGGGCAAAGCAGCAGAAGGTGACGTCAAGGTGATGTGTATTTTTAATGGGTGACAGGCCAGCAGAATTTGACACTGATGGTGTCTGGGAAGTGGGGCGAAGGCACTAGAAATTCTATCAATCAGGCCATGAGCATGGGAGGCTGAGACTGTCTTGTTCACCACTGACATCTTGGTGTCTGGCACAGTGCTGGGCACCTGAGTAAATTAATATGAAATGTTTATCTCTTTATGGAAAAAAACAGTCTGTAATGGGAGGGCCTGACAAAATGGACCAATAGCTTTAAAGACATCACTTTAATAAGGACTCCAGAATATAAACTTTTATATTTCAAGACTAGCTTATCAGGTCTCTTCCTAAATTCTAACAGCTTGTGATAAGAAGAAAAGAAAGATCTGGAAGAGAATTATATGCAAGAATCAAAACAGACAAATTTCAGATTTCCCCTGCCATTCGAGATTCTCCATGATTTGGTTTCTACTTACTTTTCCAGATTTCTCTATCAGTTCTACGTTCTGGAAATCTGCCATTCCAGTCAAATTGACCAAATACTGTATTTTCTTGATTTAATTTGTACATTTCCCCCCAGCTTTTAATATTTCTGAAATCAAGAAGTGTTTTACCATCAAAGCATTTGGATTGTGGTGTTCCTTTAAACATGCCTCATTATTTCTTCTTTCAGAGATTTGGCTAAAAGTATTTTTTCTTCCTTTTTTACATCAGTTGAAATACAGCCAATCTTTCCAGACCCAATTTATATCCAAAATCCCCTAAAAAAAACCTTCCTGGTCAGCCCTTCCAAAAGTCATTTTACTTTTCTCTGACCTACAGTGGTACTAAAATCTAAGTTGACATATTCTGTACTACTTAATATGGGACTTATATGCGTCCCTGTATTATTTCTCTTTCCAGATTATAATAAGAATCCAGAGGGCAAAAACTCTCTCTTACATCCTTGCATTTTCCACAGCAACTAGCATATTTTCCTCATTTTGATGATCAATAAATATTAACTCAGTGAATGAAGGGATAAGTTAATAACTATACACAGTTATGCTTACAGAACACAACTCGTTACAAAAAAATGGGAACAACAACACTATGAGAAGATGTCCGTGGTACGTGGTTAAACAGGAAAAAAAGCAAGCTGCAGAACAGTGTGTATACAATGATTTTATTTTTGTCAAATCAACAACAAATTTCTCCCTAACATATAGGATAGGAATGTTTGTAGATACATGGAAAGCTGTTTGGAAGAACACAGGCCTATGGTTAACATCAATTATCTCTGTAAAGTGGCATGGAGGTGAGGAAATTATGGAAGTTAATGGCGGATTTCCCCTTTTTAGTTGGGGAACTATATACACACACATATACACACACACACACACACACACCTGTGTTATTTGCCTTTGGATGAAAAAAAAATCAACAAAGTATGCGAATTAGTTTTGCAGTGAAAAATTAAGGGGAAAAAAAAAGAAAGAAAGGGCTGCCTGTCTTTCAAGGATGTAGCTTTATGGTGAAGGGGAAAGAGAAAGGCCAAAATTCAATACATAGCAGTTGTGAGTTATGAGATGTGACAACCAAGAAATAAGATTAGTTCAGAAAACTATAGAAGAAAGTAAATAGTTTTCTGAACCCAGATGTAACAGAATTCTGGGGCCTTGTACACTGGCTGACTTAAAACCCACTGTCACACAAAACAAAGTGGAATGTTCAGGGCAGTGGGCCAGAACAGTGAAGTAAGTTATTTTAACAAAAAAGCCTCTTGCTTATGTTAAGATATAACTAAAGCAAATTCCTATTCAAGAGACATCTCTCAAAGGTGTTTTTCCTCATAAGAGTGGCCCTGTCAGAGATGTATGGCAGGTAGAGAAAATTGGGCGTTTATACACAATCCCATGACACCACTGACGCAAACTAAACACGCTAGATGAATGGGATATTTGTGTCTCTGCCATCAGTTACAACTGTTAACTTTTTTATTTTTAATTTTACTTTAACTCCTAACCATGCACCAAGGACTGTGCTGTCTTACAGGTTTTATTTTATTGGTGCCTCCAAAAAGACCCTATGATATTACTCTCTTCATTTCACAGATGGGGAAACTGACGCTTAGATAAGTTAAGCAAGTAAGGGAGTCAGGTTTGAACTCAGGAAGTCTGTTAATTGATGCCAAATCCCTTCCTCTTTGCTTCGCCATAAATGTGCCTGTCACATAATCAACCCTATTATCGCTAGATATCCCTCTATTCCTTATTTCACTTTCTTGCCCCACTGTTGTGTGAAGTTGTGTCCTAATTGCCCATATTTGTGCCAACATAACACAAGGATCAGCATCACACATCTCAAATCAGTTCTTCCATCCACTTGGCTTCCTGGTTTTATTAGAAACACAAAGAATATTCTGCTGGAAGGCAGATGTTCCCGAATCTTACTGTTTTCCTTTACTAACTTGTTGTAAATCAAATCACCTATTTTCTTTTTTGAACAGTTCACAGTTTCAGCTTTATTCACTAGAGAGGGAGAGAAGTATGTTAGTCATTGCATCAAGCAGTATAGGCTCACAATCCCTTATCCACTAAGTTTGAAATCCAAAGAGGTCTGATAAATGAAAGACTTTTCATAACTCATTTGGCATCAAAGCCTGACCAGACCTGAAGTCATCTGGCAACAACACCTGCCCTGAACTGACTTGAGGCTATTTTTAATCTTCATTGGTCAGAATCAGTGTGAACGTTCACACATTGCACTGCTGAAAAATCAGTTTGTTTGATTACGGGGTGCTGCCCAGACCTCACTCAGAGTTTTGTGTATGATATGGTGTATTTACCTTGTTATCCATCCAAGATGGAAAAAGTCCCAACTTACAGATCACATCTGGACCTCAAGGGTTTCAGATAAGTGATATCAGATGTGTTATTTTCTTTCTTTTACCCCCTCCCCACATTTTTTTAAGGAGTTAAAGTGAAGTGTTGAATATTTTCCCAAGTCTAGTGCTTTGATTTGGTGAACATCTATGGCCAAGTTATACAAATACTTTGTGACTTTAGAAAATTCAAGTGTTGAAGTGGAGCCCTTTTTAAACTTTTCTTAATCAAAAGTCATTACACAGTCTCCACCTGGCAGATTATTTCATTGTTCATTGATGGTAAGCCACTGAAAGAATTAACTTTCCCCCAAAGAATTAACTTTTGTTTCCCCCTCCGACGGTGTCTAAATGTGGGACACTGCTCTCTCAGGCCACTGGTTGGTTGTCTGCTGAACTGTTTTGGAATATGTAAAGCTGTTATAATCCCATGTGGAACAGATTAACTATAATGATGAAAATTAAGGTGATCTAGATGAGCCTTAAATTTCTGATTGAACTGGATTCTTTCAATCTGAATTTTCTGGGTACATTTACGCAAACTCACAGGGTTCATTGTTCCCATTCATCTGTCATGGTTTTCTAGTGTTCTGCACGTTCTCCCAAACTAAGGAGCTACACCGTAGCATGTGAGCATCCATTAAATCTAGCACTTCAGAAATTTAAAGCTGCCACAGAATTATCGTTCATTAAGTGAAATTTTCCATGATCGGTCTCTGAGTCATGAAATTCCATTCTAAGAGCCGAGGAAAGATTCCCAAACGAAAGGGAAGGAAAAGCACTTCTGACTTAAGGCACTTCCCTGCTTCTCTGTGGTAGATCAGTTGCTATGACAGTCGACTGGCGCAGAGAACATGTACCTAGGTGCTTAAAATAGCCCAAGAGTACTTTTCCCTGATGAATCAGATTCTGCAAGGAATTACTAAGTCTTACAGTATTTACATGATATGCTGTTTCAGCAATAAATAACTGCAGTTACACAGTAGGGTTGAAAACTTACTGCTTAGTGTTTTTAACTTTTAGCAGAGAAAAACAGGAAATTCCTTAGTATTTAACATATACAGGAATATGTGCCTGTTATTTTAAAAAGCCTCCATTCGGTTCAAGTTGAAATAATTTTGATTTGAAGGCCACACTTTAAAAGCATTAACTAATCCTTATAACATCTGTGTGGCATAAATGAATGCAAGTATGCCCATTTTACACGGGACTGATTAAAGATGTCAAGTATATTTCTACCTTAAAGTAAATTTTTCATCCAGAAATGAAACCAAAGACCTCAGACTCTGTGCTCCCTGAGTAATTGCAGTGTAATGTGACTGCTTTTCTCTGTGTACCAAGTTATTCTTGATGATTCTCAAGGTCTGCCCTTCGTCTTTACAGAGTATTTCTTGGGTAAGCAATGGGTGGGGTTGAGGACCTAAAGAATGCATGAGAGTAATGGCTCCCTCAGAAAGTGGGGGAGGAGGACGTGCCATTGGGGCCCCTCGTGGGTTAGCAGTAGCTCTCTGAGTTGCTATCCCTGTTAGCAGGCATCCAGGGCACCAGCTCCCTGAGCTGCCCTTTCCCAACCAGTCCAGGCTGCTCTTACTCCTGAATCCTTCTGCAGAGTTTCCCTCATCAGCCATTCTTGTGCACAGACCTCACTCTGCTGCCAAAAGCAATAAATGGCCTGTCAGACTTGATGTGCGTGGGGCTATGACCAAATGGGAACTTAAAGCCAGAGAATTTCATCTCCATGAGGTGAGGTACCAGGGCTACTTCATAAAGCAGAAGTGCCAGATCCACCCTTTAGTGATGGTCCTCAAAGGGGAATTGGAGAGTCCAGAGAAAAACCCTTAAGAAAATCTGAAATAATTATACTGTAGTTGGGGAATTCTGAAAAGAGAAAACTTGCTGCAGACTTTTCTACTTCTTCTCTTTCTTTTTAAACAGCTACACACCTTGTTTCTGTGCTAAGCACCTATTTCACTAAATGGGAACTTCATTTGAGGTCTTTCATCCTATAATGTTTATTTATTATTCTGCTTCCACTTAACCTTTTTCTCTCTTTTTTTTCAGTAAATATTGCTCTAAGGATACAGGAAATCCATTAGCCCTTATTATCCATTGAGCCAGCAGGATACTTACTAAGCTTGTGGAGAAGCCAGTGAACGCTACAGGCTTGGCCTGCCCCAGAGAGCTGACCTTCTGGGGACCTGAGCATCTGAGGAACAAAGCCTTTATAACCCAGGAACTGTGTGGTGCTGCTTCGAAGGTTTAGCATTTGCTGGAAAAGAATAAGGATATGTTGGTCTACATTCGTTATTCAGGGTCAAGTATCAAAACAAAATCCCATATTAGGCTTTGGCATAACCCGAATTTGAATTATGGGAGATAAATGATCTTGGCATTATACTGGAGTTTTTGGGCGGAAAAAGTACTATAAAAGGAGACTCTAAGGCATTGTGTAATACTAAAAACCACTAGTTGAAAATTAAAACATTTTAAAGTTCATAATAAAAGATAGTTGCTATTTCTCTGTATTCTTTGAATGGAGTTTAGCCAAAGATATATGTTATTAGTCATTTCAGTCAAAGAAACTGCACCAGTTGCTCATTTGTGCAGTGATTATGTACAGGTTGCAAGTAGGGATGGCATTTGTCTGACGGTCTCCCAGCCTGATTGTTGTTGGTAGTCCTCATCCTTTCCCCCAGTTCCTGGGAGCTACAGATCCTCTCACTTCTGGGTCAACCACACTCACATCGGCTCTGAGAAGATGCCGCAGCCTCTCCCTGTGAGCCCCTGCTTGACCAACTTTGCTATTAGCAGATACTTTCTTACTAGGTTTCCTTTGAAGATCTAGGCCCATTTTTTGCTCTCTGTTCAGAAGTTATAATATGCACTTCTTTGGCTCCACTACATAAAACCGCTTTGTCCCAAGCCAGCCCACACTCTGCCAAAGAAGGATTTCCTAATTTAGGAAATCAGATCCACTCAACAAATTACCTGGCTCTGCTTTTAGTGCCCCTATGGGCACAGGTTAAATGCTTTTGCTAATATAGTTGTCAAGAAATTGTGTTGGGGACCTGGACTGAGAAACAGGTGTCAAGATCTATAGCTGTAGCCCTGTACCTCCAGACCAAGATTAGCAGGGCGAAAAAGTTCAACATCCAGTCGAGGGTCTGCAGGTCTTCCAGGTTCTAAATGAGTCTGAGAAAGATAAATAGATTTGGAGAACTGCCTGGACACTACTCTTGAGTAACCACAGCAGCCCTTTTAATTATTTATAACAAAAAGATATAAATCTAAATGAATCTCAAGCTAGCAAGGGAAATATTATCCCAAGTTCACTGGAAAGTGCTCAAGCTGTGGAGCTCCTGGGAGATGCTGGACCAGCGATAGACAGCCATCAGAGGCCAGTGAGCAGGTCAGGCCAGCAGAGCCATCTGACTCATGCAGGGCAGTAAACAGACTCTCAGGGGACAGTAAAGAGCTGCCTCCCTTCGGCATAAGCTCCCCAGAGGACAGTGGCCAAACAGAGTTGCATGAGCAGTTCATGCCAGTGGAGGACCTCAGTACGAAAAGATTATTTTTCCCTATAATCTTTATTGATACATCTCAGCAGCATTTCCTTCTGACTTGTTATTCCCAATGTGTTGGCAAGTCTCCCTAGCCTACTAGCTTCCACCTAGAAGTTATTGTCTTTGGAATTTTAACCAATTATTCCAAATATCATTCCACATCAGAATTCTTTATTCCAACAAAAATTTCAAGGGGTTTGTGCCATTTTTTTAACCTAGCACAATAAATACTGCCAGATTTGCATACATGGGTATCTCGAACAATGACTTACAGTAGGCAGAGCCCAACCCCTGCCTAATTCTGTGAGTTTCATCACCTTATGGTCCACAGGGCAGAGAGGCCTGAACAAAAGCATCCACTGGTATCACGTTTTGTGTATGCCCTTCCAGTTTTCTTCATGCACATCTATTTATACATAGATGGCACTGTTACCTATAAAGTAAAAAACTGGAAGCAAACTAATTGTCCAAAATTAGGGAAAATTTTCACCTACACTGTATTATAGCTGATTGCTAGAATATTTTGCTGCTATGCCAGTGATCCTTAGAATATTATGTAGCAATGTGGGGAAAGAATTCAAATGTACATGTAAGTGAAAAGGTCAGGACACAAAATTATTTGTGTGCTTTGATACAACCTATGTAAAAATAAATGCACACGGCGGGGGGACTAGAAGGACATATGCAGACCTGATTAAGGAGTTGCTATTTGAGGATAGTATGATTATGGATCATTTCCTTATTTTTCAAAATTTTCATAATGTTGCTACATTATTTTTACAGAAAATTAAGCATATTATACATACATACATACATACGTGCCTCTTCTAAGGCAGTTTAGGACTTTGCTGGGCCTTGAATTTTAAGATTATCAGTTCGAATTAGAAGTAATAAAAGCTCTTACTTAAACTAGTTTAACCTAAGCGAATTGATTGAGATCTATCATTGGAAAGTTCAGAGGCTGGACCACCTTCAGGGCGAGCTATTCCAGAGATTCATGGGGTCCTGAGTGCTGGGGCTCCATTTCTCTCGACTTTGCCTTGCTGCACGTATCAACCTTCTGGTCACACTTCTTACCTTGTGGCAGAAAAATGGCTGCAGCAGCTCCCTCGGAGCGAAAGAGCAAGGTCAACTCCTCCCCCAACCATCAAACAACCGTCTTTGCTTCACTCTGATTGGACCAACATGGACCAATCACTGAGCCCAGCAGACTGCTGCCCTGGCTACGGGTTAAATCACGCCGTGCGAACACCAGTCTGTGGTAGGCTGGTTACTGTTCGCGAGTGTTTGTTGCCCCTCCTTGGGCGAGGATTTTTCTTCCCCACCTCACTGACTTCAGGTTTGGCCATAACTTGCTCTGGCTTTTGAAATGCAAAATACCAAACAATGTTCAGTACCAAAATGGGACATAGTTGTTTAACACTATGGTTAGCTGCACTGAAGCCATTTTGTTCCTCCTGTCAGGTAGAAGTGTTCAAAGCCAGTATGTGGTTCGCCATGCTCTCTTTTCCCATACAACTGCAAGCAGGGTTCCAAACAGAGGCGTCACTGTCAGCCTGGGTTCAAGGTTGAAGATGAAACTGAGTAGAGCCACAGCCAACCAACCGTGCTCCTCTAGCACGAGCTGTGCCTTTGTTATTATAAGCTGCTGAGATCTGATGGTTGTTTGTTACCGAGCATATGCTCGCCCATCCTGACTAGGCTTGAGTCCTGGCTTGGCCTCTTCCTAGCTATGTGACCTTGGACAAATTATTTCATTGCTCTGCACTTATTTTCTTTATTTGTAAAACAGAGATGATACGTAAAATTCCTGGTACGTACTTAAAAATGACAACTGCTATTATTTGTTAATAATAAGAATTACAATTCTTACTCCCATGGGGCATTTTCTTCTAATTTATCTCAGTGATTATCAGGGGGGAAAAAAAGTGCTGCTATCTGAAAGAGGAGCTATACTGTATTCCTTTTTACTAAGGGGAAGTTACAGACCCAAAGTTTCGGTATACATCCTGATCATCTGTAGACAGAACGAGAAATTCGTCCTCAAGATATAAATGTTAGTTCCCTGGAATGCTCTTATTTTTTTAAGAAATAAAAAAAGATTAACCCAAATTTCATATGGGGAAAAAATGCTTTTTCACATTCAATACCAAAATGTAATATAGCTATTCAACAGCACAGTTGGCTTCACTGAAGTAATTTTGTTCCTCCTCTGAGTTATCTATTATTGAAGATAGTCAAGCAACGGATATTGAAATAGATGACTTTTCTATTCCATTGTGAAAACTCTTGTGTTCCCTGCACCCCTTCCTAAAAAGTGATGTATTCTTTTGTGTGTGCGTATGAGAGAGAGAGAGATTATAGTCAGAGGGATGCAATTTAGAAGTAAAATTTCTACTTTCTTTTTCGATTGAGATTATAATTGTATCTAGACTTGAATCTAAGTTGATTTTGTAATCAATAATTATTTTACATTCTGGAAGACATTTTCTACCTTAGATATTCATCACTGACATCTGATATCTAGTACGTTTTTTCAGATATTGTAGGTTTTATCTTGCTTAGTTTTCTGGTATCTAGTAATTAAGATATGAGGCAATTATTTGTCCCTTTAGATAAAAAATGTGCTCTGAAAAATGTAAACTAAATCCTGGTTTAAATGCAATGGAGCAGTAGTTCCCACACACTGCTGTGCAACAGAACTACCTGAAATGTTACACACACACACACTTCTGGGCCCCACCCCAGGACTTGTGAATTACAATTTCTGAAAGTGAGGCTTAAAATTTTTTATTTAAAAAGCTTCTTAGACACCCATATCTTGGTTTCTAAATATCATTCTCCACTAAAAGAAAGAAAGGATCCTTGCCGAATGGCTCATTCTAGAGTTGGGATGGGGAAAACTTGTAAGATGAACTTAGAACATTTTCTGGTGCCAGAAAGTAGAAAATTGCTCAAAGAATGATCTGAATCATGTCAAAGAACACAGAAGCCTGATTGATGGGGCTCTTGCTGGCCACATCTGGGAAAACTTGAATGTGAAAATAAAATAACAATAGTAAATTATAACCCATTGAATAAAATAAGTCTATATTGATATAAAGAAAGGAGGAAGGAAAGAAGGAAGGGAGGGAGAGAAGGAGGAAGGAAGGAGAGAAAAGCTCTTACAATAGAATGCCAACTAATAAATGTAGAAGGAATAATGGAATTTAAAAATCACCAGTTGAGCAAGAATCATGAATAGATGTTAAAACCAATGGGTGAGAGTTTGTGAGGAATACATTATTTACATCGTCTCAAGTATCTCCCCATAAATTACTTCTTAATGACAAAGGGAAAATAGTAACTTTACAGTGAAAAAGGCTGGCAGGCCCCACTGTACTAGCTTGAATGGTAGCCCCCAAAAGATACATCCACGTCCTAACCCCAGGATCTGTGAATGTGACCTTATTTGGAACAAGAGTCTTTGAAGATATAATTAGTTTAAAGATCTCAAGATGAAATCATCCTGGATTACTGAGGCCCTAAATCCAATGACAAGTGTCCTTATAAGAGACAGAAGAGGAGAAGGCATGGACAAAAAGCAGGAAGAGAAGGCCATGCATGCGAAGATAGAAGCAGAGACTGGTGTGAGGCAGCCATGAGAAACGCCGACAGTCCCCAGAAGCAGGAAGATGCAAGGAAGGATCGTACCCCAGACCCTCCAGAGGGTGTACGGCCCTGACAGCGCCTTGATTTTGGACTCTGGCCTCCACACTGTGAGAGAAGGCTTTTCTGTTGTTTCACGCCGCCCAGTTTCTGGTAATTTGTTATGGCAGCCCTAGGCAACTAATAACCACCTTAACCAAATGATGAGTGTCGATATCACCAATAAAGGGATTATGTCCTGTGGTTCCTGAGGAGAAGCTCACAGCGTTTTTACTCAATGTTCCTGCCCAAATTGCACACGCTGAATCTAATCATGAGGAGATATCGCACACATCCAAACTGAGAGCCATTCTACCGAAAAAGGAGGCTGTACTCTTGAAAAATATTGAGGTTATAAAACCCAATGAAAGGCTGAGGAACTGCTCTATAGACGAAAGGAATATGGGACAAAATACAGTGTGTGTCCTTCACTGGAGCCTGGACTGTGAAAAAACTGTCATTTCTGGGGATATTTAATTGGCAAAACTTGAATAGGGACCCTGGATTGAATAGTAATATTGTATTACTCTGAAAGTCCCTGTTTTTGTTACTCATACTGTGAATATGTAAGAGAATATCCGTGTTCCTAGGAAATGCACACTGAATATTAGGGGGTGAGGGAATATCCTGTCTGCAACATATTCCCAAATGATCCAGAAAAAGTATCTATGCATATATGGAGAAAAAGATGGAAAAAGTACATCTGGCAAGTATTATCAAATGTACATGAAATTATTTCAAAGTAAGATGTTAAAAAAAAAGCTTACTAGATTATTATAATTTGTAACCCAGGATGAAAACCACTGCAATAAAACTCACTTGATAAGGCAGCAATTCTCACTTGGGTGATTTTGCCCCAAGAAAACATATAGAAATGTCTGAAGACATTTTTGATGGTCAATGACTGCGGGGGATGGGGCGTCTGGAGAAGTGCTACTGGCATCTAATGTGTATAGAGGCCAGGGATGCTGCTAGAACGGTAATATGCACGGCAAAGCCACCCACAACAAGTAATTTTCTAGCCCAAAATGTCAATAGTGCCACTGTTAAGAAACCTTGCTTTTTTGGAGGGTGTTCCGGTGGCGCAGCGGTTAAGTGCACACGTTCTGCTTTGGTGGCCTGGGGTTCGCCATTCGGATCCCGGGTGCGGGCATGGCACCACTTGGCAAGCCATGCTGTGGTAGGCATCCCACATATAAAGTAGAGGAAGATGGGCACGGGTGTTAGCTCAGGGCCAGTCTTCCTCAGCAAAAAGGGGAGGATTGGCAGCAGATGGGCTCAGGGCTGACCTTCCTCAAAAAAGAAAACCTTGCTTTAAGGGAGTTATACACCTTAACTAACATAACCAGATTCTAAATCCTTATGAGAAATAGCACCAAATTTGGATAGGTTTAGAATACTCACTAGAGGAAAATTATCAAAGATTCCCATTTTACAGGTAAAAATATATTTGCATTTAAAGACTTGGAAATCACATACAGAAATGCATACAATCACGTCACTCCATACATCAGACAGGAATAGTGGAGGGATGGAGATGCATGGAAGTTCTTCAGCTCATTCATTTTAAATCAGCCAAGTGGCTTTCATGATATTGGACCATATGTCTGCTGAAAATGTGATTTCAAGGCATTAGGACAGCTTGGTGAAAAGACTTTCTCAAACTTATGACTATACTCATAGAGCAGTATGAATATATTACATTTACTGGTTACCTGGGATCATCCATAGCACTTCTTCTTAAATCTAAATTCCGGTTTCTATATTTTTAGCATAGGAGAGCTACACAAACATGACCATGACTAATGAGTGAAGAATCCCATGGCGTTAGTTGGATTTTTCACGTAACGAGTAATTTGCATGCCTCCGTGACTCTCAGCTGCAAACACTCATTTCTCAGTCATGGATCTGTGCCCTGGCTGAGCTGACTCCGCTTCAAGTTCAGGTCCGGTCTGCATGTCTCTCACTCTGCATCCGGTGGTTACTCAGACAGATGGCTGCTACCTCATGGCACATCACAGACACTCAAGAACCCGGGTCAAACTCTGCAAGAACATTTAAAGCCTCACTCATGTCACACCTGCTAATATTCCGTTGGCCAAAACATATGACCGAGCCTGAAGACACCGGGGCAGGGGTGCATACTGTGTCTGCTTTCCTGGGAAACACTGCAATGTCACATGCACATTATTCTAAGGTTATTGGGTGTATAATCATATTACACAAGCAGCAGAGAAGATTTGAGAACAATAATGCAATCTACCATACTACTAAACGCACTCTACAATATCAGATGTTTTGGAAGAAACTTTCTGATGCTACTTACACACATTATATTAACTCAGGAAACTGGCAAACTTTTTCTGTAAAGAACAAGCTAGTAAATGTTTTGGGCTTTGTGGGCCATACAGTCTTTGTGACAACTCTGATGTCGCATGAAAGCAGCTACAGACAGTAGGAAAACAAATGAGTGTATCTGTATTCCAATAAAACTTTGTCTGTGGACACTGAAATTCTAATTTCACATAATTTTCACGTGTCACAAAATCTTATTCTTCTTTTGATTCTTTTCAATCATTTAAAAATTTAGTATCTATTCTTAGCTCAAGGGCTGCACAAAAACAGGGAGTTGGTCAAATTTGACCACCAGGCTACAGTTTGATGACCTCTGTATTATTCATTCATTGATCTTAGAAGACTATACAGTACAAAGAAGAGGCAGTAACCAGGGAGTTCAGAAGATAGCTCAAGATGTAGAACACATACATGTAAAACTATTCAGGAAGCTCTGAAAAATAATATACGTAATATATATACATAGCACAAGTCCAAAACCACGAATGATAGGAGGCATGGTGCCAAGGAGAAGTTATTCAGGTATAATAAGTAGGACAGAATTCCTTGAAAAGGTAAGTTTTATAGATGAGAACATGGATTCGCTGTCCATCCGTTCTTCATACAGAGAGAAAAAGAAAACTTTTAGTAAGGGCTTCCAGTCTGCAGTCTATTTTATTTTATCAATTTTTCCTTTCATATAACATTTAAATAAAACTTACTATTCTTAAAATTCTGTAATTCATATAATACAAAAATGTTGAAAACAGAAATTGAAAGTTAGGCTATGGTCCCACCACACAGAGATGTCCTCTGTTAACAGCATGGTATGTAAGTCTAGAGTTTTTTTCTATACATACACTTATGTGTTTTACTGTTGTTTCTTAAAGTGTTTCATTATACCTAGTGTTTAGCAGCTTGCTTTTTTTCCACTTAGTTGTATACCTTGAACATCTTTCCATGCCAATAAGAATAGTTTTATCTCTTTTTAACAGTTGCATAGTATTCTATAGCATGGGAATACCATCATTGATTAAATCTCTTTTTGATCTGCATTTAGGTTGTTTCCAGTTTCCCCCTATTAGATGCAATGCTGTGATAAACGTGTTTGTAACTAAATCTTTATCTACATTAACCATTTATTTTTAAGGGAAAAATATCTAAAAGTGGAAGTTCTGGGTCAAAGCTTAAGAAACAATTTTTTTCGAAAGGTTTTTCTTCTGTTTTCTGGTATTGAAATCAAGGTGGTCTTGATTTCTAAATAGCCAGGTGTACTCATTGATTTGCAAATGAAATAAAAAGCCAAAATACTCAAATCAGAACATATCTAAATGTTGTAAAAACTTAGGTAGTAATTTTTATAAGATACACAAATATGCAGCTAGTAAATTGTTAGAGCTAAGAATTTTAACTGCAATCCAGTAACTTTATTTCCTTTACTCCATAAATCATTAAGAGCAGTGGTTCTCAACAGGGGTAAGTGGGTGTTACGGTTATCTACTGCTGTGTAACAAATCACCCCAAAACTCAGGGGCTGAAAACCACAGTTTGTTGTTATCACTCATGGCTCTGTGGGCCAGCTGGGCTCAGGTGTGCACTTGCCTCAGTTGGCTCTTGGCTGGGGTGAATCATCTGATGGCTCCCTCACAGGGCCGGCAATTGGTGCTAGTTGTTGGCTATGAGCTCAGCTGAACGTGCCAACCTGAGAGGCCACATGTGACGATGCTCAGAGATAGAGTGTCATGAGAGCTCGTGTCCTGAGAGTGAGTCTTCCAAAAGTGCCAATGCTTCTTGTGATCTAAGCTTGGAAGTCCCAGAATATTTCTTCTACTGCATTTTCTTTTGTTTCAGCAAATCATTTCCCAGAAGCAAGGGGAGAATTAGACTCCACCTCTTGATGGGAAAGCAGCAAGTCACACTGCAGAAGAATCTGTGGGACGGAAGCTATTATTGTGGCTGTCTTTGGAGGATGCAATCTGCCACAGTGGGGAGTTGGCAGGTACCCTCTGAAACTGTGACTAATTTTTCACATATTTACATCTTTCTCTGAAGAGAAACCTGAATATTCATAAGATCCTCAAAGGAATCTGTGACCAAAAAAAAAAAAAAGTAGAAACAATCATTGATCTAGGTAGATTATGGCCTATTACATAATTAAATTTATTTTATACTCTGATATTCCTTTTAGGGATACTTAATCTCTGCTACTAACTTGGAATTTTTCAGCTTCTAACTATGATTCAATAAGAAACTCATCCAGTTAAAATTTTTAAAAAGAAATCAGAATAATTCTGACAGTGTGAGTATAAGTCAAATGAAACTGGATACACACATATACACACACATATGTACATGTATATAAACATGTTCTGAATTTTAAACAAGAGGCTTGACTAAATGGGGTTTGTGTTTTGGACCACTGTTCCCATTAGAGCCACCTCTATCTGATACTTCGAGAGAGAGCGCTAATCGACTATTAATATTCTACACACAGTTAGGGGGAAATTTCTTTTTAGACCCCTGCAGCACAGTCCTGCACAGTGCACAATGATCGCCATCACAGACAGAGCAGGAGATTTGATTACTTTCATCTCAGGAAATGTGACTATAACTGTTATTATTGGTCACAAAATTATCTGGTTTTTATTACAGCACTTGACTCTGTGACCCGCCAGAATCTGTGACTGCCTCACACAAGCTCCATTTTGAGTAAGAACTGTTTCTCTGTTTATGCCCCTCTGCTTGCTATCAGTTTCATCAGTTTGTCCCCTCTGGACCTCAGTGGAGGCGGGAAGGGGAGGGCAGAGAACTTGGGAAGGGGTGCAGGAATCGACAGCCAGCTCCTTCCTTCACAAGAGGTTGGTAGAAGCAACTACATTAGTCAACAAGCCAACCACAATCCTTTGCTAAAATACATATGCAAATTCAAGATACAGATTTAACGAAAACGATTCTGTTGCTGCCGTTTTGAGGTTGAGATGTCTCAAGTCTCTTTTTTGTCTGGCATGTTCATCTCCCCAGTCACCTGTTTCTCAGACAGTAACTTCTCAAAGAGCCTGTATCAGTTGTCCCACGACATTCTAGATTTTGCTGATTTTTTTGACCTGTTTCCATCTCCTATGTCTCTGTAACCCAGAATTAGATATAAAGTGTTGATTAGATTCAGGACTAACACTTTTGGCACAGACGCTTCCCAGGTGGCCCTATGTACCTCATATTACCTCACACCAGGAAATGCAAAATATCAATTTGCCCTGCTTTTAACAACGCTGATTGATGAGTAGGTCTAGGCCATGACTGGTTGATTCCTAGTTGTGGAGTTGTAGTGTGACCTTTTGGCTCCCTCGGAATATCCAGTTTCCTCAATAATATTTTGTTTCTTAGTTTTAGCATTCGTAGATGTTTATTGCTTGAATGAATTATTTTATTAGGTGTTGTAAAAAGGTGATTTTTCTAATTCCATTATTCTTTCTACATTTACTATCTAGAATACTTCTGTAAGAAGAGTCTTCCTTCATCAGCTAGAGCTATTCTGTGACTTGCAAATAGAGTTTTGGCAGGAAAGGCAGATCAAGACTTAATTCTTTACCTGTAGTTGCTAATTTTCAGAGTACAGAGTCGCTAGACTACCTCCAGTAGCGGCACATGAGTTGTGTTAGTTGCTTTGGCTTTCTTTTTTGAGTATCATTATAAATTCAGGGATATTTATTTAATTAGTGTGTTTCAATCAATTGTCATTTTTCTTTTTTTTAAAGATTGGCAACATCTGTTGCCAGTCTTCTTTTTTTTGTTCTTCCTTCTTCTCCCAAAGCCCTCCGGTACGTAGTTGTATATTCTAGTTGTAGGTCCTTCTGGACGTGCCATGTCCACGCCCCGGATCCGAACTGGAGAAACCACAGGCCACCAAAAAGGAGCGCGCGAACTTAACCACTCGGCCAGGGGGCCAGCCCCCATTTTTCTTTTTGATGGTAAACTTGTCCACCTTCGGCCTGTGGACAGCCTCCTTGCTTTCTAGCATAACAAGATGATCTAGTCTCAGTGTGTCATTTGCCACTCTGCATCTGGAACCAGTGACCTCTCCGAGAATCGCCAGTTCCTTTTAGCAGGGAATCATGTTTAGAGACCACAGTTTGGGAGCTAACATGCTCATTGTTACTGGGTTGTCATTGCTACGGGGTCTTTTCAGTGGGCAGAGCTAGGGTATTTTAACATTTTGAATTTTTTAAACGTTTAAAATTTTTAAACGTTTAAAAACATGAATTTATATTCACATCACAAATTCAAATATATTTGAATCTTTGAGATACCAAGTTCAAATTTCAAATATCCAAATAGTTCAAATTCAAGTTTAATCAAAAGTGATCTAAGTTTATTTTTAACGTTACGCTTCATCTCCTCTATCTTCCAATGAAAATTATGGTTCTTAACAACGTTATCACTAACATAACAGTAACATAATTACTTATTTAAAGTATAATGTATGTAATAATTTCAAAATAACATAGAATAATGGAATATATGAATATTACTTCTAACGATGAGACCACTGCAGGTGAAGATTTCTTCGCAGTTTTGTTAGACTATATTCCACTAACGATGTGTGATACATCCTGTGTTCTAAAGTACCCAATGGACCTAAGTATGGGTAAAAGCTTTTCCCTTGAAAAGGGGAAAGGGCTGGCTGGGATAATGGTCAGAATGGCTTCAGTTCCCTTGTCCCCACTGAGCCCTTAGAAGAGAGGAGGGCAGGGCCCCAGGTGCCTGGAGGGTGGAGATGCATCAGCCTGGTGATACAGAGTGGCCTGAGCTGCTCCGAGCCCCGCTTCCAGGGCTGTTGGGCGAAGGTGGCAGCCCCTCGAGGAGCTATGCCTCCAGCAGCCCCAAACAAAGAGATGAAATACGAGCCATGTGTGTATCTGTGCACGGGGTCCGTGCACCACTGCAGGGATGGCGTGGCCAGACACTTCACCGCTGCAGTGGGGGAAGTGTTTCATAGCAGTTTGATGCTTTAAAAGAATAAATTGTGTAAATGAAAAGCACATACTCTTCTTCCAGCCCCTAGATCATCCCAAACATTGCATTGGACAGCATGTGGCGCCAGCCTGACATTTTTGGGTGCATCACAGGGCTTTTGGCTCTTATTTATCTTGTTCTTATCATGTTGGCATTTAAGCACCTTATCACCATACATGTGAGAAAAGATCCCGTTTCTTTGAGCTGCGTTTTTCAACCAGTGATTCAGCAGCACTGATAGGCTTTGCTCTTTTAATTTCGAGCTGTACTCACATTTCTGCTGGGAGGCAACGACAAAGAAAAACAGGTGAGGTTGGCAGCCCCCAGGGAGGCAGCAGGGGCCAGAGAGGAAAGGGGGGAAACAAAACGAGGAACGGCTTTGGTTCTTTAGGTAAACCGAAATCTGTTTCTCTCCCTGTGAGACGCCACACACTCACAGTCTGACTTTCTTCCCTTCTCACCTGTTCCTCCGCTGTTTTGCCCAGACCCCTCTTTTCCAGCGCAGACAGGTGCGGTGACTTGCTCATCCCAGTCTCTCTCTCTCTCCTCTACTTAGGCGGCCCCCAGGACTCCTGCTCCTGTCGCGTCACGCAGTCGGCTGCCTGTTGTGATCCTGGAAACCCGCTTAGTTCAGTCCATTGATGTGAATTTCTGGGAGCAATTTGGCCACTTTGTTTCTTATTTTTCCAGCCCTTTCCTTAACACTTTCTATTCGCAAAATATTTGCTTAAAGCAATAGTGTCAATCATTAATGTTCCTAAGTATTCCACAGTGAGCTTGCTAGAAATACCAGGCCCTCTTCTCTGTCTTTAGATTCTGATCTAATAAGATCAGATCGAATAGTAGAGTGCTAGTGATACTGATGAAGGAAGTCCAAGGGTTGCACTTCGGGGAAAAATGGCTTACATGTATGAGGGGTGGAGGTAATGAAGGATAGCCCTCAATCCTGCCTGCTCTCTTGCTCTGTTGGGGAAGCCTCAGTGGAATGTAGGAAGTTTGCCCATGCCTTGTACAATGGATGGAATACTACTCAGCAATAAAAAGGGACTGACTGCTGATACCCAGAACAGGGATGAATCTCAGAAGAACTCGACCGAGTGAAAGAAGTCACACATAAGAGTGCAGACGATAGAAACGGGATCAGCGGTTATTTGTGGGAGCGAGGGGGATTGACTGGGAGGGGATTTGAGGCAACTCTGGTGATACAAATGTCTGTGTCTTGATTGACAAGGGTGTGCATTACAGGAGTATATGCCTTTGTCAAAATCTATCCAACTGTACGTTTACGATCTGTGCTTTTCATTGTATACAAACTATCTTAAATGTTTTAACTTGACTATACCCGTTTTGGGTAACGATAAAATTATTTTTACCAATTTTTTTTTATCAATTTGTATCCCTTAAAAGCATGCAAAAGGCAAAACAAAACCTGTTGAGATAGAAAGTGATCTAACAAAGTATTGCAAACATGGTGCGCACTCAATAAAAATGTATTCACGACTGACGGTCACGCAAGAGTAGTTCATTGCAACAGTCTGTTTATAAGATGCCTCCTGGCAGTCCAGCAACATAGTCAAATTCAGCACTGTATAGGAGATTAAAATTTCCAAACCCTATAAAAATATTTTTAGCAATCCTCCATCCCATCAATCCAGTTATTCAGCCTTTTCATGGGAGTACAATAAATAAAATCAATACCTTTTATTACTTCACCACCAGAAACTGTTACTATAGCCAAATTCAAAGATGTAAGGCTGTCTGCAAGCTGATCCCTCCTTCAGGGAGTATTTTATGAGGAAAGTGCACTGTTATAATTTGGTGTGAAGAAGGAAGGCTATCCTTAAATCCTAAGAAGGACTTTGCAGGTTGAAAAAGCACAAATCAGGAGTATCAGTCCCCTCTGTATGAGCTCTAGCTGGATAAATACAGGGAAAAAAGTCAACTATTTTTTTCAAAGAAATAGTTTCCTGAAAATATATACAGGATGATTTTTATATTTATTTCTATAATAAAAAGGATATACTACCGCATCCCAGGCAAACGGGACAAATCCCTCCTTAGTACTTATCTTTCTTAATTGTGCTCTGTTTCTAGCGGTAACTGGCCTCGTGATATGTGTGTGACTCTCTTCCTTTACATTTCCACCCACTTTGAGGAGTATGACCAAAAAACCCCAACTAAGCAAACAAGCAAAAATGCAAATCAAATCTTCAGATTAAAAGATAATTTCCTGTGAGATTATGCATCCACAATGTTGAAGATATGCACTTGAAAGCATCCGTTATCGACAGGAGCTCTCCAAATATTTTCCATTGTTTTGTCTCTACAGAATTCACCAATAGAGAAGAAATAAAGAATAAAACATTTTAGGACAGCTATCACTGGAGAAATACGATTTTCTTTTTCAATTTCTAGAGGATAAGATTTTTAAAGGGAAAAAATAAAAATGATGAAAAAGTAAGGACAATTCAAAAACTGGGAAAAGTTTAAATCCTTCAACCACATATAAAAATTTTCATTTCGTAATAAAAGAATTAGAGCTTTAACAATTCAAACTGTGTTTGTTCTGGTGATCTCAAAATCTGGTCCCCAGATCAGCAGCACCAGCAGCACCTGGGAACGTGTTCGAAATGCACATCCTTGGGCCCCCGCCAGGCCTGCTGAGCTGGAAACTCTGGGGGCGGGGCCTGGTCATCTGTTTGAACAAGTCCTCCAGGTGATTCTGTCGCAGAGTAAAGTCTGAGAACCACTGATTTATTCCAGAAACATTTATTGGGTGCTTGCTGTGTGCCAGGCTCTGAGAAACGCACTGGGGACACAAAAATAAAAAATTATCATGATCCATAGCTTAATCACGAAGAAAAAAATATTAGCTGGTAGAATCGTTTTTTGAAGACAGGAAATAGGAGACTCCCCTGGCCACAGCGAGGTCAGGTAGGACCACCAGGACACTGAGAAGTTCTATGGAGGTTGAAGCAATGGTCCTCTGTCAGAATCACCTGGAAGGATTTTCAAAACCACAGGCCTTGGCCCTCCACAGACCTCTGGAATCCCAATCTCCTCGAGTGGGGCTCAGGAAAACCGTATTTTTAAAAGTTCCTCCAGTAATTCCGCTGTTTACCTGCAGTTAATAATGATGCTGCTGCACGGTGCTCTCAGGTTCTGTGCTGTTCACCACCTCCCCGTCGTCAGCTTCTCCAGGTGTGGTCCGTGGGTGACCTGCACTGAATCATCTCCAGGAACACTGCTGGTCAGGGGAGAATGTGTGCTGGCGTGTAAAATACAGATCCCAGGCTGAACTACAGTCCCACTGAATCAGAATCTTTGGGGACAGAGCTCAGCAATAGGCATTTTTTACAAAACCCTGGGTAATATTTAAGCTCACAATGATTTGAAATGTACTGCCTTATCGATTTCCTCAAGCAGCTACTTTTCAGCTTTCTACTATAGTCTAGTCTCCAAGGGTCTCCCATAGAAAATGTTCCCTGTCTCCTTTCCTGTCTTGATATGTGTGGTGGATAAGTAACAGCCTCCCAAAGATGTTCACATCCTAATCCCCAGAATCTGCAAATCTTACCTGGCAAAAAGGACTTTACACATACGATTAAGTTAAGGATCCTTTTTTCTTTTTTTTAAGGTATGCTCTTTTTTTTCTTTTCTTTTCTTTTCCTTTTTCTTTTTTTTTTTTTGGTGAGGAAGATCGGCCCTGAGCTAACATCTGTTGCCAATCTGCCTCTTTTTTTATTTTTTATTTTTTCTCCCCAAAGCCCCAGTACATAGTTGTATATCCTAGTTGTAAGTCATTCTAGCTCTTCTCTGTGGGATGCCACCACAGCATGGCTCGATAAGTGGTGTATAGGTGCCTGACCAGGACCCCAACCAGTGAACCCCGGGCCACCAAAGCAGAGTGTGCAAACTTAACCACTCAGCCTCAGGGCCAGCCCCTAAGTCAAGGATCTTGAGATGAGTGATTATCCTGGGTTATCTGGGTGAGCTCAGTATAATCATGAAGATCCTTAGAAGAGGGAGGCTCATGGACCAGAAAAAAAGATGTGACAATGAAAAGACAGGATCAGTCAGAGAGAGCTTTAAAAGATACTACACTACTGGCTTTGAAGATGAAGGAAGGGACCACGAGCCAAGGCATGCAGGCAGTCTCTAGAAGCTAAAAAAAGGCAAGGAGACAGATTCTCCTCCAGAGGCTAGTGAAGGAATGCAGCCCCACCAACCGACACTTCGATTTCAGCCCAGCTTAAACCCATCTCGAGTCTCTAACCCAGATTTGTGGTCATTTGTTATAACAGCAATAGGAAGCTCATAGAATATGGAAAGGATACAGAAAGGAAAATAATTTAGAGACAAACAGTGCTATTACCAAAGAAACTTACCTCCTTTGGAGATTTTACCACGTAGGAGATGGCATATTTAGTGTTCTCTTGGAATTTATACTTATTAAACAACTTCTCTGACTAGAGGCTTTAATTAGACCTATAACTACAGTGATCATAGCAAATGATGCCAGAACCTTAAAAAAAACCTCAGTTGCTTGACAGCAGTATGATTTCCTTTTCAGACTCAGTCTTATCAGAAGATACAGAAGGCCATCCCCTGTGCACAGCTAGTGACATCATTTTCCCTGGAGTCTACTCCCAGGTGGCCGATAAGTCTAAAAATCCTCAATTCAGAGGAAGAATCGGGAAAAGCATTCATAATGGGCGTACTTCACATGATGTCAGCAGTTACATAGTAAAACCTGTGAAGGAACTCAACACTGGGAAAAAGCCTTCAAAATCCTCTTCAATTATCAGCCTGTCACTCACTCTTTACTTGCTTCACTCTTGCCAGTGGGAGGCTCACTTCTTAAAGCAGTGGTTCTCAAACTGCAGCATGCATCCGATCACCTGGAGGGCTTGGCAAAACACAAACGGTTGGGCCCTGCTCCCAGGGTTTCTGACTCAGCAGGTCTAGGGTGGAGCCTAAGAGTTTGCATTTCTAACACATTCCCTGGCGCTGCTCTGCTGCCTGTCGGGGGATGACACTCTGAAAATTGCTGACTAGAGCGATGGCTCTCAGTATTGCCTGCACTTTAGCATCACCTGGGGACTCGTTCAAATTCTGATGGCCAAGCCACACCCCGGGCCAATTAAATCTGACTTCCAGATGGCCAGGCCAGGCCAGGCATCTCGATTTTTCAAACTCCACAAGTGATTCCAGTGTGCAGCCAAAGCTGCAAACCCGTGCCCAGGAGGCCAAAATAACAGTGGAGAAAGGGAGCCAGTAAATTAGCCAGCTAGGGCAAAGGGGCAGTAACACTGACCGTGAGATGCCTGGCCCTCTGGCTACCCCTGGGCCCGAGAATCCCCTTTCCAGCAAACGCTTCTCCTGTGTCTCATCTAAAGGAATAAGAATAAGATGCCACCACATATCACCCAGTCAAAAGACAGGACATTTCTATTCGATATTGGAGCCAGGGGAGAATGGGAACCTGTTGAAAAGGATAATACAGTTCTAAATACTGTCTGTCTGTTTAAAAATTTATCGTAGTTTTGTATGAAGTTGCAAGACAAGCCCTTAATCTTCTCATTTACAGAAAGACTCAAAGAAATGATAGTTTCTTATGTTAAATAAAAGTTCAGTGCTTTATTTCTCAAATAGCCCCAGAATTTTCTATTTTTCATGCAGTTAATGTCCTGTGCTTCATATCCAAGTATTTCTCTCTTCCTCACATACACATGGTATTTTTATTGTTATGAATATTTATTGATTCCAAATGATGTCTAATCACACATTTCTCAGTCACCTCTCAATTCAGGTTTTATTTTAAATTCATAGTTTTCTGTCGCTATCTTTTAAATTCATAGTTTTCTGTCGATACCTACATGACCTGAAACTTTGAATACCTACCACTATATTATTTTTGCTTCCATTTTTTTTTTTTTGAGGAAGATTAGCCCTGAGCTAACATCTGCTGCCAATCCTCCTGTTTTTGCTGAGGAAGACTGGCCCTGAGCTGACATCCATGCCCATCTTCCTCTACTTTATATATGGGACGCCTGCCACAGCATGGCTTTTTGCCAAGCGGTGCCATGTCCACACCCGGGATTTGAACCGTGAACCGGAGGCCACCAAAGCGGAATGTGTGCACTTAACCGCTGCGCCACCAGGCTGGCCCTTTTGCTTCCTTTTGAAATAAACTGCAAGGCACTACTACTTTCTAATACATAAGCTTATCTTCTGTTGCTTATTGTCAGAGGAGTTCTGATAATAGTTGCCCTCTAAGGGGATGATTTTTTTCCGTCATATGCCCCCAGTTGCAGCTCTAATCTATCCAGAAAACTCTGACATGTGATCTGATATATTTACTCATTTTTATCTCAGATTTGATTGATATATGTACAGAAAGATACTTTACTTTGGATTTTCGCGTCTGTCAACAAATATCTTAAATCCCTTGAGCAAATGTGTTCGTAACAGACTGTAAGAAAGAGCGATTAAAGTCATTTATTTCTACCTGGCTATTTGATGTAAAAATTCCTTCAATATTTACTTTCTTATATAAAAGAAATTTACAAATTGTTTCTGCTTTTACTTCCTGGTGGGAATCTAGCCTCTAAACATTCTTTTCAGCTTTCCTTAGATGATTGTAAGGGCTAACGCCAGAAAGAGAGCCACATCTGACTATTTTAGCTCATTTCGTCAGAAGATCCTCTGACCCTGTATGTTGTATCGCAGAGTTGAATCTCCTCCAGAACACAGACCAGGTTTTACTTACGGTACTACTTATTAGTCAAAATCAGCCCACAGGACAGATTAAACGAAGGTGAATGATAAGATTTACTTCATCAATGTCAAAGAAATTAAGATAAGGAAATGTATGTCAAATGGGTTATTTAACATCAAATGTGTTACGCACATGCACATAAATTTAACTATTTTCAAACTGGAGGTGAGAATCCCTGAATTTAGTGGAAATTAATGTACACGTACAAGCATATTAAACGAAGGCATGGAATTTTAATCTGATTTTTATCTTACTTTAATATAAGCTTGTTTCCAAAGTGGGTTTGTCTTTGTTGCTATTTTCCTGAAAATACATGGTGGCTGAAGAGAATTCACATATTTCAGGGAAAGTAAAAGTTGGTACCCTCTAGCCTTATACCCCCATGTTTTGTAAACATAAATGGCTCCATACTGTAAACACTATACTTTAACTGCATCTCTGTTGGTGTTGGATGGTTTTCCACATAAACACATTAAGATTTCCACAACAAAATCACACTTGTAGGCCATTTCAACATTTGGATATATCCTAATGTAGTCAACCAATCCTCTCTCGATAGACATTTAAGTTATTTCATTTATTCAATATTGTAAAGAACTTTACAAGAAACAACCTTGTACATGTATCCAGTTATTTCTTTAGAATAAATTCCTAGGAGTGGAATTGCTAGGTAAAAGAATACAAACCTTTGAAGTTTTGATATATATTACTAAATGTCTCCAAAAAGCTTTCACCAAATTTCACTCTTACTGTGTATTGTTTTCCTCCATGTTCATCAGCAGGTTATTTAAACAAACCGAAAAACAAGTTTATTGAAATAAATTTGCAATCATAAAATTTACCTGCTTTAAGTATACAATTCAATTACTTTTTAGTAAATTAACAGAGTCGTGCAACTCTCACCACAATTCAGCTTCAGAATATTTCCAGCAGCCCCAAAA